TATGTGTATAAATAAATATACTTATTTATCACGATGGCATGAATAGAGATTCGATTTGTCTAGAGATTTCCTCAGATATTTATATACTCCTGTTGTATATATGTATATGTTGCTGCTGTTTTACTGTAATCTGAAGGATAGAGAGAGAGAGAGAGAGATATATATATATAAAGAGAGAGAGAGAGAGAGAGAGAGAGAGAGAGAGAGAGAGAGAAAGAAAGAGAGAGAAAGAGAAAGAATAAAAAATGCTTGAAGATTAGTCTTTAACTCTTGTACGTAAGCCGTGGAGGTGCTCAGACAGAAGACGTGGGAAGTGGTTTAGTGCGAGAGAGAGAGAGAGAGAGAGAGAGAGAGAGAATAACAGAGAAAGAAAGAGAAAGACAGACGTAAGTGCAAACAGCTGCAGGGAATAAAAGGGACCGTGAGCGACTCGGATTGAGGGGGTAAGCGAAAAGTGTGAGACAGGGCATGAGTGGACATATCTACACGAGAGAAGAATCCCCAATGAGCTCACTTATATTTACATCTTAGACGATGCTTTCTCTCTCTTTCTCTTGCTTTCCTTTGCAAATTTTACATATATCACATGATTGGCATGGCTTGGTGCCGCGTACATGACACAGACGCAGTACAATCCACAGGCACATAAACAATGCTACGGTTATGCTATAATATACATACCGATTATGCTGCAGAAATGCTGTTTATGCTGTAGCCATGCTACAGTTCACGAACAATATATGCTACAGGTATATCCGTTCATGCTTTAGCCATGCAACAGCACACGAACAATACATGCTACGAGTATGCCGTTCATGCTTTAGTCATGCTACAGAATAGGAACACTTCATGCTACAAGTATGCCGTCCGTGCTTAATCCCGCCCAACAGATAACGTGCTCTCCCATTAATCCACAAGCACCTTGACGCGATCTCGCGCGCTACACGGCTATCGTGCTCTATCCCGCGCCACATGTAACTATATCCTACATGCCATTAATCCTACTTAAGCATACCTCCTTATGCTACATCCTACATCTTACTAATCCACAAGCACCTTGACGCTCTCTCGCGCGCTGCACGGCTATCGTGCTCACGACCCACGCGTGCTTGCAATCCGCAGAGACGGCGATGGCTTCATCAGCCCACCTGAGCTTCGCTACGTCATGACGAACCTCGGAGAGAAGCTGACCGACGAGGAGGTGAACGACATGATCAAGGAAGCCGACCTCGACGGAGACGGACTTGTGAACTACAACGGTGAGTATGTAGCAGAGCTATACATCCCCCCTTATCGCAAGACTGTACATTGCGCAGGCGCATGGGTATGTCTCTCAGGGCGCATGAGGCCTGGTGATTTTATCAGGAGTGTATAACATAGAGATATAAGGGGGACGTTTGCGATAAGGACGTATACGATGCTACACTTGCTCGTACTGCCGCTTGTCGGTAAAGCAACGAAGCGACGCGAATCCGTTAAAGGAGAAACGACGAGATTCTTTCCCTTTAGAAAATATACACGTCGATTATCGCGTGCGTGCGTGCGTGCGTGCGTGCATGCGTGCGGGCGGGCGTGTGTGTCACGTCGGCACAGTTCAAGGTGACCTTATCGTCGGTTTTGCAAACAGCAGGGATGTTGAATCTACTGTCTTCTCGTAGCGTGTTTTACGTGCGCGCGCGCGCGTGGCCGTGAATTCAAAAAGGTTGAAGCGGCAAAGGTCGATGAAAACCAAGCTCATTCATTTCCCGGGTAAAATCGCGGCCGAGCGAAGGCGTGCTTTTTCTCTTCACGCGTCACTATGGGATTTGTCTATTGGGAGGCAATTTCTCATTCAGACTTGTTATGTACGGTCAATCGATTATGAGAAAACATTTTATGTCTGCTGTGTTATCTTGGACGGATTAACATAAAGCTTTTCAATTATTATTATTACTTTACTAAATGGTGAATAGTTTTTTCTATATCAAACTTAAATTGACTTCAATACTCGACGAAACGCGCCCTAAACGGACGAGTTTCCGCTCTGTGCCAAATGTGTTTGTTTCTCTCCTCTATTTCAGAATTTATCCACTTCTGCCACAATTTGCAATCATTTCAGAATTTGTTATCATGATGTCAGCGAAGTAAGACGGAGGTAGAGACAGTCCGAGCGTCATTATGTGCGTCTCGTCATCGTTCAAATAGCCTTGCGTCACACCGTGACGGTCCCGATATGAAAAGTATTTCCGAGGCATTTCCGCCACAACTGGCGGCTCTACGCCAACAAAAAGGTTTTTCCCAAAACGTTGGTGCATGCTCCTTTTTATACAGAAGGTCTGTATTGCGAGTAGATTGTCTGACAATATAACGGGTTTGGCTTGATGGGTTCGACCAATTAACCGCATGGATTTGAGGCTCCCGAATTTTTTGTGCCCACGTTTTATTCCGTATTGCAAGAATATTTTTCATTTTGGGTTCACGTGTGTGGTTGGACGACGCCATCTTTGACATAGGTATAATAACGCGAATGTAATGTGGAACTGTTTAGAGAGTACATCTGCCTGCTTTTTTGTACATACGGGTGATGCTGTTGTGTCGTTTTATATATGGAGAATTTGTAAACGTTCTCATGCGTTTTAGAAGTATTTATTTCCGATTAGTAATCTAGCTTGTTAAGATATTTTTTATTATTACACGCGAATTGTAAATGTCTGTCTTCTCAGATTATACGTTAAGCTGGCGAATTACGAACTTACTTCTTATATATACGAACTTATATATATATACTAACAGTTTCGGATCGGAGAGATCTAAATGAGACTTTATAACATAGATATGTGGCACAAACGATCGCGATACGCCCTATATTGTGCAGAAAGTCTCGTAAGATCTTGTCTCTACAGAGACGTGACATTATATATATATATATATATATATATATATATATACCTTATTTCTTCCCTTTACGCTTCTGGCGTTTGTTGCCATACTGCGCTACATTCTTGTTAGACATCTTCGTTAATTTTCTCTTGGGAAGTGTATCCGATTGTGGTGCATAATATATGATTGTGAAATATTGTTTTGACGTTCTCTTTTATGGTACGTTTTAATGCCGTTGTAGAGTTCGCACGGACAGTTTCGTAAGAACAAATGCTGTATTTTTTATCGTGCGCGAGGTTCAATACATATAACATATAACATATATAACAATAGTTTCACTTGGGAAAATTAATAGATACTAAGCAAAACAACTAGCCGCAAAATGGACGTCTTCAACTGCGTGCGTTATGTACATCAGACAGGTCAATATAGTTCCCGGAATAGCGGCACATATTCAGTAGAACTGACGAGCAGGAATATAAACCGTCTGCATGGCAAAAAGTATTTTGCTTTCAGCAGGATAGCATCCTGTTGTTTGATATGTGCTGGCCGGTAGAAATTCCGGGCGTTTATTTGGCGTGTGGAGTTTGTAAGTGAGTCAGTGGCAGTAATGCTTATAATCGTGGAGTTATCTTTGAGGTTTACGGCATTTTGTGGTGTGATTTCAATGTGTGTCGGACCGCATGTGCATGGTTTGGGATTTTGAAATGGCTTACCGCTCTTGGTAAATAGGTAATGCAATAGTTACTAGCGCGAATAAATCGGTGTTGTGCGTATTTTGAATTTTATGTATATTTTTCGTATCGATTTTTCTCAATGCCGTTTTGTATCACCTTTTCTTGTTGATTATGCACGATATATTGATGTAGTCATATTTAACTAAAGCTTAGCGTTATTGCTTCTTGTAATTATGAATTCTGTAATGTCTTACGAGACTTATTTATACGCGATGACTATTACGAGGGGAAGATAATGACAAATTTGTGACATTATTTATCATTATCTACCCCTGTTATTACCTATTTAATTCTCCATGAAAATATCTGTCACGAGTCTAAAATCAGCTGGAGCAGATTACTGTGATTCAAAGTACGGTGCGAATGTTATTGATGCCCGTATCTATCACAGCATCGAACACTGTTACAAAATGCGTGCAAATCTTGCAGAGAAATTAGGTTAGTAATACGAATAAACATAACGATAACACACGTGTTAAACAACGACAAACATTAAATAATGCGACACCGCTAAAGATCATTCCTAACGCGTACCGTTTCGCTAAGTGTGAGTAGAACAGTTTGATTTCGCCCTATCTCGACTTCTATATCTACAAAGCAAGCAAAAAATCTCACGCCGACAAAGGCTGCCGCACGCGTGCATCTCCCATTCCAGTTTACAGCTCATTCGCGTTTAAATCATGGCGTCTATCGGACGCGTTCTTGCAACGAGCACATGCACCGCGTTCTCCGGCGGGGGAGAACGGTTGCAAGGTCGACAGAAACGATAGACTCTCCATCGCCGGAGCATCGGTCGGTGCTAGCGCAGCAGCAGCCGCGACCGGACGCGTGCTGCTGGTCACGTCATCGGTAGTTAGCCTCACCGCTGGCAGGCTGAGCTCGTGGTCCGCAAGTCGATGGAGCCGAGATGTGAGCACGCTGACGCATATCGCGATGGTGCAGAAGGCCACGCAGATTTCGGCGATTCCAGAAATAACGAGCGCGAGACTGAATATGCGTATCGCGTCGCATCTCTCCGTGTACGGCGCTGCTGCTGCTGCTGCTGCTGCTTCTGCTGCGTCGGGCGTCGAGGAGATACGCGCTAGATGGCAGCACCAACTCGGCTCTGAGAAAAGGAACGACGCAACGAGAATTTGAATAACCACGAGGCATCACAGCGGCAACATAGACAGGACAGCATAGAGTGTGTACATGCGCAGGAGAGCTGGCGGATTTTACGGACGCGATAACCTATTCTTCGTGTTCAGGGGCGGATCCAGAGGGTTTGGGTGACCAGTTTCCATATATGTTCTTCTGCAGCTAGGGGGGTCCAGGGGCATGCCCCCCGGGAATTTAAAAAAAAGAAGCTATATTTGGTGTATTCTGGTGAATTTTGTGGCCTGTGACCGGTTTCTAGAAACCGGTGCAAACCGGCCTAAATCCGCGCCTGGTGTTAATACGTGATATCAGATAAAATTCATAATCATCACCTGTATAATATATACGAAATAGCTATGATTATATTTGACGGTATACATCGATGCCGTGATGCACCGAGCAAGTAATCGTTTAGATATTATAAGATCACATGAATCAAATTGTGATCGATTTATATCTGGTGTTATCAATCCCGGCGCCGAGATCTCGTGTCCATTAGGGTTTAAACATAAAAGGTTTAAACATGCCACGGTTTATATAATTTATTTTCAATATATAAAGGCTTAATCATAGAGAGGGTTGATACATAACAACTTACATTATTTATTATTTACATGTGAGGGCCTGATCAGAAAAGCGTTGATCCTACATAGTTTAATAATAGATTTTCGATTCTTTTGTGAGATTGAGATATTAGATCAAGCCACAGATTGCCTTCGACTATGTTATAGAATAAACACCGACTATGGACTGTGCTGCATCGTAACTCGTTACGCTGGACTCTCTTATAGAAATTAACGGGAGAAGCGCCTTATGCAATCGTCGCCGTAACTTTCGTCTTGTCTCAGTTTTTATACTGATTCTCAAGCCTCTCACTTAACGACTCTTTTGCCTTTTTGTATTTTCGGCACGCTTTAATTAATTTCATCAACAAATTTCATCGAGAAATGCAATCAGCGCACTAGTAGAAAGTTAGTAACTGAGACTTGTGGGTACCCCATCGGGAAAGGACCCACGAGCAATGCTTGATGTAGCTGCGACGCTTGGTCTTGTCTCACCTGCTGATATAATTGTAGAGAGCGCCACCAGCACCACGGCGAGTACGATTCCGACAATGCTCATCACCGACACTGTCGCCACCTCGCGGTTCGCCAGCGGATGTCGTCCAACAAGGTGTAGGCCAGTCTAAGTAATAGACGAGCGGCACGCGATTACTGTCGGCTTTCATGGACTTTGTATATTCTATTACCGTAAAGCCCCACACGTGCGAAATTAAATTGACAGCATTTACGCGGCAATGCCACCTCTGCATTCTAGACAGATAATTACTGTAATATATATTAGGAGAACATGATATCATGAACACACACACACGCGCATACTCGCACGCGCGCACGCGCATGCACGCACACACGCGCACTCACACGCACGCACACACACAAACCAACAACGACGTCGCGCGTTTTTAACCACGATGTCGCCGTTGATAATGGGTGACCTCGTGTTTGAAAAAAGGCGACACCGTGGTTGAAAAAAAGCGACACCGTGGTTGAGAAAAGGCGACACCGTGGTTGAGAAATGAGTCAAGGCAAATGACGCGACGACAGTTATGGAACACAAATGCGGTGCGACGTCGTGAAGCTGCGACAGTACATATATATATAACATATATATATATATATATATATATATATATATATATATATATATATTATATATATATATATATATATAATAATATTATACGGTTCTCTGAGAACGCCGCGCGATGGCAATCATGGAACACCACAGAGGTCAGAGTTGACGGTAGTACAGCGTAGAAGGTATAGTTACCAGTCCTGTCAAGAAGAACCAGCCACCTGTCCAGATGCCAGCGGCCGCTGTACGGCAGTCCCACGATAGACAGAGCTGCAGTACCACGCATGCGCCGCCCAACCACCACTGACTGCGCAGCGTCAACAGCAGCGTCTCGTTGTCGCTGCCCCCTAGATTTTGGAGCAAAATTTAAAAAATAAGCTTGGCTAATAATCGTAAATAACCCTAACGTGATTTTTTTGGTCACTTGTCCGTGAAAGGCTTGTCTCAGACCACCCACCCCTACCACACTATGGACGTCGATCAAAAGCTGCGCCCGTCGCTCATCATTACACAGTTGAGTCATAAAACTTTGCCCCCTCCCACATACTAGGAATTTGCTCAGCCTACGGCCCTGCAAACTGTATGCAGTCTACATTCTCTGGTAACAATAACTAATTTCATGCGAGCGAATTCATACATACGCATCAAATGGCACGTACTTTGCAATAAGATATCCCCCGTGGCCGCTTCATGCGTCGACACTCTATGGTTTCCGACCTTCTTCATGCTAAATCGGGAACCCCGCGACGCAGTGCTCATAATTACTCGATAATAAGGACGGATGAATGTTGCTCGATTGAAGTTGCCTGCACGCGCGCGCCGCAGTCGCCTTTCGACAACACGGATCTTTCATAGCGGACGCGGGACATTCCGCGGCTGCACGTACGCCACTCCGGATATTGGCTTCCAGGCACGTGACCGTATAGACGCTCGCCACTTCCAACTTTATACAAAGAACGACAATTGGTCGCCGATATATTACAATGTTAATAAGTCCAGCCGTTGCTTAGTAACAAAACGACGTGTATTTGTGTGGTACGCGAACTTCAAGGTTTACGTGCGAAGGTGTACATGTGCGTGCGTGCGTGCGTGCGTGCGTGCGTGAAGTAGAGCCGCCGTAAATATTTGTGTAGGCAGCATGGAGACGTAGCGATAGTATCTGAGAAAGCCAAAAGCACACTCGTAAACAAGTATCTGCGTGCTGTGTGTTCAATATGAACGAGTTTATTATTATTAATCACGGTCTAAACCAAATTTTTACTGACATATAAATGGCTGTTACATTCGTAGCAAAGCGCTTATGCAAGAGTTACAGTGTAGTCGATAACGTCGTATCCAAAATTCCGCGTGTTACAAACAAGTGTTCATTTAAAAACGGATCGTAAGTCGACCGGTTCATTATTATTAATATTAATTCATATAATATGAGACTTACGAGGGGGTATAACAGTAATAGAGACAACAGATAGTTGGATCTACTGGAGCGCTGTACGCTATCAGCACAAACAAATACGTAACACTGTTAGACTTTATTATTGATTCCGCGCCTAATATAACCATTACTCGAGCACATAAACAATATGAACTCCACGATACCTGTTTTTCTTTCTTTGTAGCCTTAGTAAATTCACGCCAATGTATATACATGTATATACTTAACTAGCTCTACCTGCGTAGGCCTTCGCTGCTCAAACGTCGCGGTGGATAGACAGTGCTAGTGCTTAACAGGATTGATAAACGGAACAGTGTCCACGAAGGCTCAGTCCATCATTTCACGATAGTTGTCCACATTATATCCAACGCGGAAACGCCCGCATGTTAACCTCTTTTCCCGACGATGACGATACCTACGGTAGACATTAATTTTGTAACACTGCGATCGCCGACTCGTGTACCGAGAGGTCGACCAATTGCGTAGGCCTGGCTACTCACGCGACTAAGACCGTGACTGTATTAAAATATCGTGACATTGTTCGACACACGAGTGAAACCGTGACCCAGACACTAATATTGTGAGCTTGCTCGACACGTGATTGAAAGTGTGTGACCCAGACACGGTAATATCGCGACATCGTTCGACACGTGAGTGAAACTGTGACCAAGACACGGATATATCGTGACATCGCCCAATAAAGAACTGCAGTCGGGACTGTGACGAGTAGATAATCATGATCAGTGAAGTGGCCTTAAATCTACGCCCGAAATTCTCACTAAATAGTGATACATAGACACTGACACTGAAACCGCGAGTAGGATACGAATACCATGTTGGGTGGGATGGGGTGGATAGGGAGGCGGTGGATCCGGGGGGACATGGTGGGATCAGGTGACACCAGTCGTACAGCATTACTTCGCTCAACAAAAATGCTACAATTTTGTTATAAATCACCAAAACCACAAAAACCCCGCCCAGTGAACGTTACAAAGCAACGACCACGGTGGTAAACTTGCACGCACGATATTAAATGTACCATCCATAACAGATACAAACTTTGCCATCACCTAATAATCGTTGGTAACATTTACTCAGTCGTGTGACGAACGGGGCATCACATAAGCACGCAGCATATATTATCGTCGTCATGAAATCATCATCATCATCATCTATATCTACACATACATACATACATATATATATATATATATAACTATACACCATACCACGACGTAGTTGGTGATCACGACAACAGATCTATCGTCAGAAAAAAATGTGTCCCCATTAGTTGACGAGATCTCTGTGTCTTTAAATTGCTAATTATTTCCTAACATAAATCTGAAAGTTACACTCCAGTGAAATGAGCAAACCAACGTAATAATATCAGGTGGATAAACGCTTTGGCTGCCTACAGCCTTAGAAAACTCAGAGTAACTAATTAATTATAAAACTCGTTTGAATTAAATTCAGTGTGTGATTGCGACATTATCTGATTGTGACATTAAACCGTACCCATACACTTCATAGGAGAAAACATCAATCAAATAGGTACACACCATGCGTGCAGACACGCGAAAAACGCAACCAAGAATGTTATATAGAAATGATTCTAAACGTTTGAAATTCATATCATAAGCAGCCTCACGTGTGTAGACACGTAACACAGTTCTACCACCTCATGGCATCGATCTACATTCTTGAGAGTGCGTGCAGAAATACAATTGAATGTGCTTGTCTATATGTACATAATAGTTTTCGATATATATTCGACTGACAGTGCAATACGACACTAGTGACTTGCGAAGTTCCTTCATCCACGAAAAAAATACTCGAACCATGCTGGTGCCGCTTACATCGCACAGTAGAAACCACACGTAATGACATAGTATTAGGAACTGGGCCACATATATATATATACTTCAAAAACATTTCAGAAGCAGTCCTACCACATTGCAAGTGCGTTATTAGAGAAAACTGATTGTGACACTGCATGCAGTTAATGTACTATTACGTCCAGCTAAAACGTTCCCGTACGAGACCTCTGTAGTTCAATACATCTACATGTATATTACAATAATCACAGTGTATGGAAACAGTGTGCTGCATTCATTGTATTAACGTGACAGGAACCTAGGAGGGGAAGTTTACAGAGAAGGACGATGATGAAAAGAGAGAAGATGGAAAGGGGGAGGAAGTGGGGCAGGGAAACAGAGAAAGAGAGAGATAGAGAGGGGGAGCGGAAGAGGGAGAGGGAGAGGGAGAGAGAGAGAGACCAAAACAGCTCCACTAGTCTAGTCACCAGCTAGTCGTGATGTCTGGATTGACCGAAAACAGCATAAACAGAAGAGAAGGAGTAGACTCTCATTGCAAATATAGTTAAAAGGAAACTTAAATCTAGAACTTTCCAGCACAAATATAATGCTGCATAAAAGAGATATATGGCTTACATATTTCTGTTATCAGACATTATCTTTTTATAGTATCGAAACGAAATAGATACTAATACTATAAAATCGTATACAAGGTCATTACAATGCTTTACTTGTGCTTTCCCTATCTGCATTGCATAAAACCAGTTGCATACACAACAGGCTGTCAACATTTCTTACTTAATAATTTAAGAGAAGCGTTGCAATGCTCTATATTTCACTATTAGTTTCAGGTAGAACATAGTCATATTTATACTCAATCAAAGTTTTTACAAGTAAATAGTAATTTGAGATAAATGCAATTCACTTTTCTTAGAAGCTTCTGGGATTATGACCAGCATGTGTAGTACTAGTATTAGTGAACCAGAGTTGTGAGCCAAAAATAATTAACAGCTCTTAAAACAAAACAAAAGATTTCTAGTGAAAACTGAACAACAAATTTGTATGTAGCAGACTGTGAACCCGATTCAGCTGAGAATAATTCGTAAATCTATGTCACAGAGAGAGAGCTGGGAAAATCACTTTCCATTTTACCCAGCAGTGGCTACTACAATTTACGTGGTAGGACCTGCGGAACCTTGCCCTGATAAACAAACTGCTGGAGATACAAAACTTCAGCAGGTGGCCCTGCTCTTTTTAGAACCACCAAATCCGATCATACCAATCGCAAGAGATTGCAACGCAGAGGTTGTGTACAACTGGAGAAACGGAGGAAGCAGAGCAGAGGTCACGGCTAAAAGTGGCGTCGGTGGTCGTACGACTTGCGCGTCTTGCCACTGCCCTTCTTGTGGTTGCTGTGCTTGCGGTAGGAGTCTTTCGGGCGAGGGGGCTCGACTATCCTAACATTCTTCTCGGGACGTTGCTCCACGTGTTCTCTCTCAGTACTCGCAATCCTGTCTTCGCTGAAATCACGAAGCAGAAGGCGGGGGGGGTAACTTAGTGGAGCTTCATCGAGTCAGAGAACCGGTATTTAGTACAGGAAAACTGAAGTTAGGCCAATCTGAAATTACACATTTCCAGGTTGACTGACACATAAGTAAGAGTCGGTAGGTCAAGGACAATATTTTTTAAGAGTAGAAAAAGACGTGATAGCTATACTGAAACAAGTGCGGCGGAGGGTCGTAAAATGTGGTAAAACTGCAAGGTTCACCAGGAATTCAATTCAAGAGACCAGTAAAGTAACAGGAAACACAACACCTATCATGGGCATATTCATGTGACCTCAGCTATCCATTTGTTGGATGCATTCGCTCATACCCTACACACACTTGCAAGCGACACTCAGCTATGCGAATCGCCATTTAGCACTAACCTTTGTACAGGTTCAATAGCCAAACGGCGCGAGGGGCTAATGGCAGAACCGTAGCGGTGGGCGTTATGTGTATGTGTCTTCTCTCTCCATTCACTGTCAAACTCCTCTGCTTCCTCTGAAAAACAAAACACCATTTCAAAATCCGGAAAGATGATGTCTAAAGCAAACCTGTATGTAATTACCTAATCAATCAAAGAATGAAAGTGTCAATGACACTGTAGCTCACCACAAAAAAGGACACAAATGAGTGAGTAAGAAGAAGTCAGTTTTAATTGAGCAACCATCGACGTACATTATAGAAACGATTGCCATCTGTATATCGCAATAATAATTTATAAACCAAAATAAATCACAATTTATGACTGTAGATGGCGCTACACCCGCTTTGTAGCGATGGCGTTCGAAATAAACAGGTTATGCTGCGTTCCGACATGTTTTGTAAATCTTTACTCTAATATAGACGTTTTATCGGCAAGGTGGAGAGGAAATACCAATTTTGCATTAAAGATATTGTCAATTAAATCTTGTAAAACGAACCAGACGAGTGTGACACCACAGACTGTTTGTGTTTATATAATATGCTATATAATTGCCAAACCCTACCTAATTTGCATAATTTTTTTTTAAATATCAAAACCCCTAGCCCTTATTCATTCACATACCAAAATCGCCGTGGCTCGAAAGTACGTCGACTGGCGTGCTTCAAATAGGAACGTTTCCATATGCGAGCATAGCAGTAACAAGCTACACCCCATTTCAAACATGTGGGTCATGTGGGTTCCTGAGTTATCGTTGACCGAAACCAAGACTGTTGACGGACGGACGGACGGACGGACGGACCGTACGACGACCCATGGCAATAGCTCAGCTTGACGACTGTCAAGGTGAGCTAAAAATGGCAAGTGTTCTTTACAAACATACGGCTGTTCAGTGGACGACGTTTCGAAATGGGGCAGTTCTTCATTTATAAATACCAGTACGAACTTACAAATTGCTTCTCATTCTCCCTATTTCACGTTTCAGAAATCAACAGCATTTCACGCCACTTACTACTGAGATAATTTTTGTAAGGATCACTCGCCGTGTGACGACTTCGTAACGAAAATATTTGCAACGCGCTTCTTCTTTGACGCCTCTACTATCTACTATCTTCTTTGACGACTCTACATTCTACCATCTACTTCGACGACTTTACGATCTACTATCTTCTTCGACGACTCTACGATCTACTATCTTCGTCGACGACTCTACAATCTACTATCTTCTCGACGACTCGTAGCCGATCTACTATCTTCTTTCGAAGACTCTACGACGTCTACTATCTCTTCGACGACTCTACAATCTACTATCTTCTCTCGACGACTCTACAATCTACTATCTTGCTTCTCGATGACTCTACAATCTACATCTCTTTGACGCCTCTACGATTTCTACTATCTTCTTTGACGTCTCTATGTTCTACCATCTACTTTGACGACTCTACGATCTACTATCTTCTTTGACGACTCTACGTTCTACCATCTACTTCGACGACTCTACGATCTACATCTTCTTTGACGCCTCTACGATCTACTATCTTCATTTGACGACTCTACGTTCTAATCTTCTTCGACGACTCTACGATCTACTATCTTCTTCGACGACTCTACGATCTACTATATTCTTCGACGACTCTACGATCTACTATCTTCTTCGAAGCTCTACGATCCACATATCTCTTCGACGACGTCTACGATCTACTATCTTCTTCGACAAATCTATGATCTACTATCTTCTTCGATGACTCTACGATCTACATCTTCTTTGACGCCTCTACGATCTACTATCTTCTTTGACGACTCTACATTCTACCATCTTCTTCGACCGACTCTACGATCTTACATCTTTTCGACGACTCTACGATCTACTATCTCCTTCGATAACTCTACGATCTACTATCTTCTTCAATGACTCTACGTTCTACCATCTACTTCGACGACTCTACGATCTACATCTTCTTCGACGACTCTACGATCTACTATCTCCTTCGACAACTCTACGATCTACTATCTTCTTCGACGACTCTACGATCTACATCTTCTTCGACGACTCTACGATCTACTATCTCCTTCGACAACTCTACAATCTACTATCTTCTTTGACGACTCTACGATCTACTACCTTCTTCGACGACTCTTCGATCTACATCTTCTTCGACGACTCTACGATCTACTACATCTCCTTCGACAACTCTAGCGATATACTATTTCTTCGCACCCGACGCGTGCTGGAACGCCGGTGCAAGGGGCGCCAGGCAGGCGGTAGGTCGGGTGGACGCGCTGGCGGGGCATAAATGGGATTACAATTCCTGCACTACCTTCATCGATGTTTATGAACTCCTGCTCCTCATCTGCTGCCCGTGTTTATGTCGTGCGCTCGCTGGACGATGTGCGCGCGGTCGCCGAGGTGGTGACCGATGGACAGTTTCTGCTCTCCCCTCGCCGTGTCGCGCACCGAGTGCCTCGTCTCCTTCACCTGCACGTCATTATAATAAATAGTTAATTATTATTTATTAATATTATACTAAATATTATCAGGAGTGAATTATAATAGATCTATTATGATTCACTCCTGATATCATTTATGTATTATTATTATTATTATTATTATTATTCATTACGTATATTATTTATTAATATTATGCAAGTATGCAATGTTAGTATAATGTATATACATGTATGTCGTATTCAACGAATCTGCGGTTGACGTTGAGAGGTTATATGTAAGGGCCGCTAGGCGACGCAACATTGTCGTACGCACGTATACTTTCGCAGTGGCCACGAGCCGTCGTTACGAGGACCACAGCTTCACACTGCGTTGATTATTATCGAGTAATTATAACAACAGAAAGGTTATCGCCAACCGAGTTAGTACTGTAGATGGAGAAATTAATTTTCCACAGGAAAGAATCATCGCTTTTTACTTAATGACAACAACGGGTATTTTATTACGTTCATATGAACAACATGGCCAGTAGCATCGGACCGACGACGTTGGAGATCTATTGTCCATGCCTTATGTCCCATCTAGGCACCTACAAGGGATAACTAACGCACGAAGGGTCGTTGTCGTAACAGGTACTACAGATATGTACCCGAGGTAGTTTTAGGTTGTTTAGTATTATGTTTATATTTTTATATAATTAGGAGGTAGTTTTAGGTTGTTTAGTATTATGTTTATATTTTTATATGAGGTATGTTTAGGGATAGGGTTAAGGTTAGGGTTAGTGTTAGGGTTAGGGTACACTTCTGTAGTACAAGTCTGGTACACTTTGTGTATACATATATGTACCTCGGGTACATATCTGTAGTACCTGTTACGACAACGATCCCTTGAGCCTAACTAACTAACCAATGAACAACACCAACGATTGTTTGTGCATTCTAGTGAGCGTGTAGGTAGTAAGGACTCGAAGGTGAATACGTACCCCACCGGGCGCCATGCGTGTGCTCTTTGTGGCTTCGTACACCTGCGGCTTGCCTGCACCGTCGCTAGAGTACGACATGAAAGTGCTCTGGGTGTAGCAGTGACTGTTCGGATCATTCCCCATCTGCGCGATACCTCGTTCCTGTTTCGGCAGCAATATGGTGTTACTGGTAGCTAAATCAGACACCGCGTGATGACGAGCAACAGTTTAACGTTACACAGCCTTCAAGATGTTTTTGTTTTAGCACACCACCAGCAAGAAAAGAATGGCCATGGTTGTATATGAACAGTCTATGACGTTTAAGTAGTATGCAACAATGGACTACTGGTAACATGTTTTGGCATCGCCTTACTTTCCAAAGAAGTAGAAACTGTAGATTTTCAGAGCTTACAGAACCTGTTGCAAGAGTATGGAAGATATATAATTATATTGATGTTTTTATATGAGCAATATAAATATTTAAATGTGAAAAATGCTGACATTGTTTCTTGCTAGCAATAAATACTCATTGTATTATGTTGGTACTGTGCATACACTGTATTATATTGGTAACAAGCACACGTATCATGTTGGTAATAAACAAATAACAGATTGTATTATTTTTGTGATAAGTATACATTGTATTATGTTGGTAATAAGTATACATTTCCTCCTGCTACACTGGGAAAACATTCAGGGTTTAGATTAGTGTCTGCAGTTTTCATCAGGCTTTTAAGACCTTGGTTATTTGAGACCAGCTGTTGAACCTGGATTCGAGTGCTGGTTATTTCCCAATCTCAAGCTCAACAATCCTGATTTCTGCACAGATGCAAATGAGCAGTTTTCGAATAAAGTTCTCACATAATACAGAGAGACAATGGACGCACGCGCGCACACACGCACGCATGCACACACACGCACACACACAACTTACCACGTTATTGAACATGTTTCTCATGTTGCTGAACATGCTGTCAAATCCTCCGAACATGGAGCCGAATGGCACCATGTCGGTGGAGCGAGGATACTGCGGTCGGGTGTCCGGGTAGGTGAGCATCGGAGCGAAGGCAAACGGGTCGGCCATGCTGCGGAACATGTTATCCATCTGCTGCATGTGCGGTCTGGACAGGCTGCAACAACAAACGACGAGAACGGGCGCACGTGAGCAATCTGTCGTCGCGTTCGACGGTGGATGAATCGAAACGTGAATACCTGGTATTTAACGCGAATTGGTACCCGTTAATATAGTCTGGCTGTGCACACACTCATGCACGCCCGCACCCACGCACGCACGCACGCACGCATCCACACACCCACACACGCACGCACGCACACATGCATGCATCCACACGCACGCGTGCATGCACACACCCACGCTCGAACACACACACTGTAACTAAAGATGTCATTCGGGAATTTGGTACAGCTAGCATGTTCTGCAATACAAATTACAATACCACTGCCACTGCTCAGAATGCAACCAGACCAGTGGACCAAAAAACGCATAAACAGTGGATAATAGCATTTATACAGCATCATTAGACATGTAATCATAAGTGCTGACTGATCGTATGTAGGAGTTAATTGCACGTGCAAATATTTTCTATCGTTTATCAAGAAAAGCCATCATTAATTTATATAAGGAAGTTAAACAGTTTTGATTCCGTGCCACCTGGTTAGACACTGAATACAAGTGCAAAGCTGAACTGGCACCGGCAATACACTTTTTATAAACACGTATATAGCGCATGACCCCCTAGGAAATGAAGCTGCCTGGTATAGGATATGGTTAGCGAATGCTGCAAACAGCAGTTCACAACGGCATCACAAACCAGCTGCGATAACAAACACAGCTTCTAGTACGATTAGCCGCCAGACACATGTAGTGTAATAAAGACGATGTTTGAAACTCAGCGCGGCTGACTACTGAGCTACCAACACTTGTACTATTTTGAGCTTGGGGGTACAATGCACCTTAATCAAACAGCCAAGCACACAAGTGACGTTTGCAGTGCCTTCTTCTAACACAAAGTTCAAATAAATTAAGCTGCAATTAACCTAATAAGGATGACATGTATCAGCATGTGATGAGTGGACTGTCATCAAGTCAAGTTAATAGGTTATGTGTACGTCGCTGAGCTATACACATGACAATAACACAATGAAACACAAATGGTTTATTGGTTCATGGAGTGAGAGTGTGCGTGTGAACAATAGCTACCTGCCTAACCTGGGTTATAACAGTGTCACAATTGCACATGTGGCACGCATAAAATGGTAAACCACAGCTCAATTTTATTGCAGGAGATTTATTGAAACAAATTCAATTCTTATTGCAATAAAGTTGAGTGTTGTTTAAAAGTATAAAGTGGAAAAAAGACAAAAGAAGAACGTGGTATTACACAGCAAGAGTTGACAAATATGGGCTTTTTAAATAGATAAATTTACATAAATTTAGAGTTATACATCTTTAGTGGGATTATATCATTTTATATTTTCACTGGGCAATTTACATGACACAAACAGTGATACTTTTATCACATAACTTTTAGGTATTATATGATGAGTCCCCTACTAGGCTACTACTGTTTTTTTCAAATTCCTCTTTCTCCTATAACAGGTGTAGTAGATCATACCGTAGTTCTGTCTAAACAAGCTGCATAACTTACATTATATTATGTTTGGAAATTACTACTTGTTCCTGGATTTACGTCAAGAACTATCAAACTTATGAGTCTAAAGGCCCGCTTAGGTCGGCCTTACGACCTAGTCGCCGACAAGATTTGAATATCGTATGTCAAAAACCGGCCAGATCGCCGATAAAAACATCGACAACCAAACTCGACACGAGTTCTCTTACGATCGAAAATACGGTCGCCGACTGCGATCGCAAGAATAGAACATGTTCTATTTCTATGCGGCGGTCGGCAACAAATCGTAAGTGGCAGCCAATCAACGCAACGTGTCGAGTCAAATGATTATCAAAAGTCACGTGATTAACAAAATCGCAGCCTACACAGCACTCGTCAGCAGATTACAACTTACAAGGACTTAAATTAACTTAATAAATTACTTATTGCACAAACCCTTTCTCAAATATATATTAAGTTTTCCGTATATCACATAAATTTTTTTTCTGCGATTTATAACGATTTTCAGAAAATTGAGGATAGATTTACGAAGTTACCTGACGTTTACTGGTAAGCGCCATTTTGTTGGTCACGTACGTGACTCGTTTTATGTAGACTGGTCCCGGCGTCAAGCTTGCTCTGTTTGTGTTAAAGAACTGCTTGTGCTAGTACAAATACTGGGGCCGCGAACCCGTCTACGTTTCCTGCGAGAACGCTACGATCTGATCGTCGATGTATAGCGTGAAGGCACTTCAAGTCGACGTGAGTGTTGCTACGCTGCTAATCGGCGATAAAGTAGTCGCCGATAGTCAAATCGTAGGACGACCTGAGCGAGCCTTAATGTTAATTGTTGTAATAAACCTTGTACCAACTTTTAGCATACTAGACTGCCACAACAACTATCGGATGTCTATACATACCCAGGGTTCTCCAAGAGCACTTATAGCCTGGCGGCCCGCCAGGCTATCGTCGAGCCCCGCCATCCTAAAATGCACCCGCCACTCTAAATATCATAGCCGCCATGCTAAATATCATAGCCCCCGGACCCCCCTAGCATGCAAACCGCCGTCGGCAGCTTGCAACTAGGACCGTAAAAGCAGCACCCGCCATGCTATAATGAAAAAGCTTGGAGAACCCTGATACTAGTGTTGTCAATCGGTTGTAATTTCGTAAGCGATCATTGGTTCGACCCAACTAACCGATGATCGGTTACAATCGGTTACTCGGGGTGTTGAATGCCTGCATGTGCGTAACGTCGTGCGCATGTACGTGTGTGCATGTATGTGCTTGTTTTGCACTGTTTACTACTGTGTGTATAATACATGTATGTTAATAAAGGATAACTTGTATAGTAGCGATGATATCTCTGATTTATTTTTTATTTTTATGAAATTGATTATGGATTTTGATAACCAAGCGCTTGATTCGAGCCACTGTTCAACCGATGATCGAGTATAATCGATGATCGTGACATCACTAAGCGCTTGATTCGAGCCACTGTTCAACCGATGATCGAGTATAATCGATGATCGTGACATCACTACCTGATACCCACTTTAAATTTTAGATTGAGGTTTAATATTCTTGCCACATATCATCTGTCTTTATAACTATTTAGATTTTTGAAATTAAAGAAATCGTGTTATTTTTCATCTGGCCAAAATCTACTTCTCAGTAGAAGCTTTAGCTTGTTCGTGTAAATTAGTATGCCATACAGCACCCATTTTTAGCTGCAGGTTTAACACGGATTTTCTCACTAGGGGAGTATATGCACCAAGGTATGATAGTAATCTTCATAACTCAGTACATACATGTACTTGAATTTTGGATTATATTCAATAAAGATATAACAAAAATAAAAATAAAAAAGGTTTTCACCATATGATTGAATGGGATTACATGGATTTACATGGATTATCTCTACTGACTTAGTTAAGTGGGGATGGACGATGAACCAGGGTGGAAAATGTACTGTTGCTTGTTAATTCCTTGAAATTTCTACAACTTGGTAACTGGTCTATGGTCCAGCCGTGCACCTGTATGCAAGATTCCATTAAGGGATACCTGAAAGTGTCCACTGTGTAAAGCAGGGTGTTAGCCAGGGAAAAAAAAGGGAGTCTCACCATCTGAGCAAAGCGAGGATGCTGCGGGCGCCAAGCGCTTAAGGGGGAGGGCCTTACCTTAAAGTAACTATTGCGAGAGTTTTCCAGTGTTTTCCCAACTTTCATGATACCTACAATTATTGCTTTAGTTACAGCAATTGTCTAGAGTAATGATAAAATGTCTTAGAACCTTCGTATTCACCAAATCATGCACGACTAAAATTCAGACTTTCTTGCGGTAGCGCGAGACATCTATCACGGTGCAGTAATGCATAGTCGCACCGCAGAAATCAGGTCAGAGTGTATAAACACTAGTAGTACTAATGCCGCGTAAAGTCTGTTAGTAGAGAAGCTTGTGGATTACCAGTCAGATAGTAACACAATGACAGAAAGTGCTCTGAATTATTGACATAAATACTCAATCATATTTACCACACATAATTGCAGGCCTTTTTGTCTTAATTATGCACTTGGTTTGAAGGCGCCATTTGTGATTTTGTGAGTCAGGACACGATAAAATTCATTGCTGGTATGATGTGGTCAAATACATTTTAGTTTTTCTGATCAAAAATCTCGCAATAGTAAGTTTAAAATGGAGGAAATTTAGTCTGAAATGCCAAAAAGACAGGAATCTGATATGATTTTATATTCTTATAAGCACTGTTGTCAGTTATACAAGGTGTATAATATATAAAATTGAGCCGCCCTCATGCTGTCTCTATCAAATTTCATCCATCTCATCCAAGAATAGGATCAGTCTAAAAGACGGGTAGACAGACCTCTGGCTAACACACTGCTGTAAAGGTGTACTTATGAGTGTTCGTCAAGTGTTGAACATGGATTTATCATACACATCAACCAAACACACGATTTTCTAATTTCCAACTTTTATGATGAAAAAGCACATCGCTACTCTTGGTTTTCCGGCAGTGAATCTGCTAGTCCTGGAAAAATGGAGAACCATTAATTGTGTCTTCAGTTTCTGTAAGTAAGTACTTAAAGTAGGCCTACTAACTTAGGCTATTATGGATTGGTTTCAGAGTTTACATGCTACCAACCGGTCAACCCAACCATAACAAGACACAATAATACAATAATGAATGTGTGAAAAACCTGATCATCAGATTAGACCAGGTTTTAGTTTAGGACCCTAGTAGTAGTACATGAATCAGATTCTCATGACTCTAGCCCCTCATTATAGCATGGGTTTCTACAGATGTGTGCCCCATCTGGAATGGACTGCAGAAACAGCTTCGTGTGCACAACCGTCCTTAGGAAAGGACGCCAACAGCACTTCAGCTTCAGTCAGCAAATGATTATGAGATAACTTTACTTACAGTACACAGACAGAGTACAGTACAGTACAGTACTTGGCTTATCCACTCTCTCAGTCTCAGTCTCTTCACTGCCACTAGTCTAAACTCTAATGTTATAAACTCACCTGAGAAACGGATCCTCTTCGAAATCTCTGAGCATTGAACCAAACATACTTCTAGAACAGAAGATACAAAATACAAGAAGATACTTCCGCGTAATCAAACTATATATAGGGATAGAACAGCAATTTATGGAACAACCTATAGATATCGAAGACTACAAGCAATAACTATTGCATTAGCAACAAAACAATGCTAGATATTCCTTGGCAAATCACAGATCTTGTACGTAACCCTAATTATATTACAGAGTTATTGATTGGCTGAAGATATTGCGGCGTTGTTTTTTCCGCCATCTATCGGTAATCAGAATAACACAAACATACGATTTTCCGTAAATAATGGAGTATTTTTTGCTATTTTAAAATTAAAAAAACTACCGAAATATGTGGTTAAAACACGGAAGACGACAAAATTCAACAATGTTATGCCGATGTGAAAAACATTTTTTCTAATAGGTGGCGCCTGATGTTTAGATCGCGATCTTATTCAATATGGCTGAAGCTGTTGCTGTTGAACCTAATGTTTCCGGATTCTTTTGCCACAAATGCCTTTTAGAAATCAATGCGAAATTACCGGTAAAGCACAAATGTAAAACAATGTGTAACGTTTAACACATCCCTTATATGTGTTGTTATGCATTATACCACAGTACCGGGCAGTGAAACATTGTCGCTAGTGTGCTGTCAGTGTCAGTGTCGCTGAAAGGGTCGTTGTCGTAACTCGCAGCTAGGGCCTGCATAGATGTAACCCAAACACAGGATAGGGTTACAACGCGAGCCTATTCTTTTCTTTGGAGGAACCCTTGAGTGAATCACTGAGGGCGGTTTCCTGGTGCGTTTTCAGAGACTAGAACTTCCAAACTGGGTTTATTCTAATTCTCAACACGAACCTTTCTCCGCTATCCTGGAACTTACTATGTATCACAATACTCTGTATTAAACTAATATAACCTGTTACAAAAATTCGAAGTGACGAGCGGCGATACTTCGAGCGCCATTTCTGTTGACCTGTGACGTACAGATTCCCAATGCGCATAGCGTTTGGCTAACTTCGACTCCAAGATCGAATGTATCATTGGATGCCTGCTGTCAGTCGTGAGGTCACGACGAAGTTAGCCGAACGCTATGCGCATTGGAATCTGTATGTCACAGGTCAACAGAAATGGCGCTGGAAGTATCGCCGCTCGTCACTTCGAATTTTTGTAACAGGTTATATTAGTTTAATACAGAGTATTGTGATACATAGTAAGTTCCAGGATAGCGGAGAAAGATTCGTGTTGAGAATAAACCCAGTTTGGAAGTTCTAGTTTCTGAAAACGCACCAGCAAACCGCCCTGAGTGATTCACTCAGGGGTTCCTCCAAAGAAAAGAATAGGCTCGCGTTGTAACCCTATCCTGTGTTTGGGTTACATTATTGTATCTAGGGCCTGCATACCTCCCAAAGTTATACTCGGTCGGGTTTTTAACACATTCTAACTCTAAAACTGTTACATTAAAAATTCTGAAAATATTTACATAAACAGGCAAGACGGTTGTCATTTTGAATACAAATTTTTATTTCCTATCGTGGTTTATTTCAAAAGAACCACCGAAAGTTGCTACCACGCCTGCTAGATCGCCCGTGCCATATTGTCTATATTTGACCAGCCAATTTGTGTTGCAATCGAGTCAAGGTAGCAACGTTCGGCTGATATAACTTTTGAAATAAACTACGATAGGAAATCAAACTTCGTATTCAAAATGACAACCGTCTTGCCTGTTTATGTAAATATTTTAAGAATTTTTAACGTAACAGTTTTAGAGTTAGAATGTGTTAAAAACCCGACCAAGTATAACTTTAGGAGGTATGCAGGCCCTAGCTGCGAGTGTTGTCGTATCAGGTACTACATTTATTATTAGCTCATACACAACTATATACAATATACAACATACTATATACAATTATTAGCTCATCTGACGTAGTCGATGAAAACGAGTTGGGATGTCGATGCTGGGTGTCAAAGGGCAAAGGTCAAGAGGTGTAAAAGAAGGGGGAACATTCCCTCCTTAACTTAAGGTATAGGGAGGAAATGCAGAATTGCGGCACAAATCTAAACGGCTCGACTAGGCTCGTGATACCGTGTATAGCATCATGGTAGGAAAAGCATCACTGTGCCGAAATTGAGGTCACAGGTCAATGGGGCAAAGGGGCAGATTTTAGACATTTTCTGAGGACATGGTCTGGACGGAGCGATTGAAAACTTTTTTGTTTCAGCAGTGAGCTACCATTTTTATGGCTTTATTGAAAGGACCATTGAAATGTACTTTCCGCTGACATGCGAAGAATAAGTGTCGGATAACCTTTTGACCTCAAGAGGAGGGTTAAACATGGATTTGTTTTACTGTTAGAAGAATTTGACTGCCGGTTTGTCTAGTGGTAATCTATAATGCCTGGATGTATGAGGCACAATGTCACAATGAAATTTTCAAAAGCTAAATTTGTGTTGAAGAGGTTTATTCTCCTTAATCGTTAATTTCTATGGCATTCTGTACTGTCAGTTGTGTTACATGTAACGTATGCCAGCCTGCCAGTGGTACTGTGTAGTTTTTTGCGTGATTAATTAGTTACAGGTGGCAGCTCTCTATTCAGCCTGTAGGGCTTGCGTAGGTAAATGGATGAGTGCTTACCTATTCTGTCTTGCAATAGTTTGGTGTGCTCTACGTAGGAGTGGGAGTTCCATCTTTAATCTGAAGACACTTGAAACGTAGCGCGCATCTCGTGGCAACTTTCATTAACGATCCCAACGAACATTCCTTTGAGAAGGTTCCGCGATACCATCCCTGTGCCTTCACTGTTTCGGCGTGTATGTGAACCAATTTGGGACTAACAGGTTTACTAGAATCCGAGCCACTCCAAGCACAGAGTCACCGCAGAGACGTTAGCATGAGCGCTTGCGGCTCCGCGGCACTTCGTTTCTTTTGTTGCTGTATTCCAATTGGATTATTTTATCAGTCTTATTCTTTACTTGTCATAATTCTCTAGTTGGGTTATTATTGTCTTGTTTTGCTTTACTCAGAGTTTTTTTTAAAACGTTGCTTAATAATACTAGTTGCGTTTGATTTCCTTGCTATCCGGGCCACTTCTTGCTCTGTGACTTTAGTAAGCATTGAAGATATTTTGTGTTGTTTTTTTTTTTTTTTTATTTTTTTTTTTTTTTTGTTTTTTTTTTTTTTTATTTTTTTTTTTTTTTTTTTTTTTTTTTTTTTGTTTTTTTTTTTTTTTTCTTTTTTTGTTTTTTTTTTTTTTTTTTTTTTTTTTTTTTTTGTTTTTTTTTTTTTTTTTTTTTTTTTTTTTTTTTTTTTTTTTTTTTTTTTTTTTTTTTTTTTTTTTTTTTTTTTTTTTTTTTTTTTTTTTTTTTTTTTTTTTTTTTTTTTTTTTTTTTTTTTTTTATTGTTTGTTTATTTTTTTTTTTTTTTTTTTTTTTTTTTTTTTTTTTTTTTTTTTTTTTTTTTTTTTTTTTTTTTTTTTTTTTTTTTTTTTTTTTTTTTTTTTTTTTTTTTTTTTTTTTTTTTTTTTTTTTTTTTTTTTTTTTTTTTTTTTTTTTTTTTTTTTTTTGTTTTTTTTTTTTTTTTTTTTTTTTTTTTTTTTTTTTTATTTTTTTTTTTTTTTTGTTTTTTTTTTTATTTTTTTTTTGTTTTTTTTTTTTTTTTTTTTTTTTTTTTTTTTTTTTTTTTTTTTTTTTTTTTTTTTTTTTTTTTTTTTTGTTTTTTTTTTTTTTTTTTTTTTTTTTTTTTTTTTTTATAATCTTTGTGCATTTTGTATATTTCCTTGTTGAGGCCTACCTGTTTCTGTCCCATATCTTTGCTAATTTGCTGTTATCAGTTCTTTTTTCCAGTATTGTTTAGACCTTTTTGGCGTCCTATATTAAATTGTCTCTTTGGGGTTTTGTAGTCTCGATCTTATTTGGAAATTATATTTATTTTATTATGTTGTGATCGCTGTATTTCACTGATTGTTTTCCTTCCCCATCTTCATACCTGCACAGCCCCAGCACCCTATTTCATCATTGTAAATTTTTGTGTACTTTTTGATTCCAATTCCCATCAATGATCACATAATCAATTTATAGATTTTTTGTCTCACACGACGTGTCCTGGAACCCTTGTCCACTTCGCGCTCAGCATTTTTGGCTTGCGTTCGTTCAGACATGATTAATTTTTTCTTTTTGACCGATAGTTAATAATTTTAATCGCTCCATAAATTGATGTTGTCTTTCTTTATTCCCTGGAATTGTATTAAAATCGACCTATTAAGAATCACAGCATACACATTTTGGTCTTGTTTTGGTCGGCTTTATTACTTCTCAACAGCGTCAAACATTTTAGCTGATTTCTTCTTGTGGTGTTGCTGGACTGGTTCATAGTGTCCATAGATTATTCCTAGTCTAAGTTTAATTTTCTGTGTTTCATCTATTGGCATGAATGATTATACACAAGCATAGACTGCAGCAGGCGAGTCGCAGCTATTGAAGCTGAAATTTGATTTAACATTCAGTCCTGTCTACTGACTACTTGATGGGGCATATTAATGGGGGTTTGAACTAAAGATTTTATGTATGGAGATCGTATGCTACAGTGAAAACATCAGTACGTCATGGCAATTGTTCATCGAATTTATCTTAGGCACGCTGTGTCAAAATAGTTTGTGAATTTGCACTACAGGATACACGTGTCCTAGGCTGGAATGCGGATTTTAGAGAAGCTTGAACGACTTGAGCAGAATAATGGCTACGAGATATACGAGGTATGAACTGCCATCGATTGTCTAAATCATAACTAACGGCTTTCTGAATAGTTTGTGCATGCATAAGCACATGTTAAATATATAGAGGATTATTGCTGGGGCTTTTAGTACTACTGAATCTAGACTAAATGAACTGATTATTGTTTGCATGTGATCGTGACGAGGATGAATCCATTCCGCTACGAGGTCCTCCCTTTTCTAGGTAACGCCAGGGGTATGTGTGAAATGTAATCGCATTTCTTGACTAGAATGCATGACATGTACAAGGTATATTGACGAAGCCATACGTTATTATTACAAATAATTTATATAGGTGGCTGCGCACTGGCTTATCAATACAGTACAAAGTGATGACTATGCCTCTATATCTATCTATCTACTGACGATATCCATACGTATAGGATATACGTATACGTAAGCATATGTATTTGTAGGCTTGTAAAATTTATTAGCACGCAATAAGAACAAAAATATCCCTGACATAATTATAATGAAAGTCCGATCGAAGTTGACTCCATCATATTTGTTATACGGTCACACGCAGTAAGGGCCGGGTACAGCGTTAAGCGCTCATGCCTATAGGAAGTCCGCGAGTGTGACGGTCACGTTGGGTAAGACAACGTACGGGTGGTTCTACACAACGCACTGCTCCATAGTGTAGCCATAGCGTGAAAATGTTGTGGCGTACCGTAACACGAGATGTTGTGCGCTGCAGACAGCGGTAAAAGCATCGGTAGCAAGTCGATCTCAATATTTAATGAATTAAAAACAAAATTGAAGGAAAAAAAAATGTTGTTAAATTTTTTTTCCCCGTTGCTTTTCACTTCCATCGCTTTGAAATCTATAAACAGCTGCAATATTACTCCAGATGATGGTTACAATCGGGTACAAAACACCGACACGCGAGTTAAGTTACAGAGGCATATTGATTGTGTTAGAACCCGCAGGCATCGTTGTCTCATGCCACCGTGAACGTCATCACTTCGGTAGCTCTATAAAGGATTCCGCGGTGACTCGCAACCTTCAATAAAAGAAATATCGCTCCCGTACGGCGAGTGTCTCGTGCCTGCGCGACCGCTCGCATGTCGCACCAAGACCCAGCATGCTGCGTTGGCAGCTGCTTCGACATGTTTTTTTTATTAGATATTATTTATATGTGGTTAACCAATCATAATATGCATAGATTACTGTGACAATTAATGTGGCACGAATTTGAATTTTTGCGATTGATTCTCATGCCATCGGGAGCCTTGGTGACATCAAATTTAGAAGTTCCTGTTATCACAAGTTTTCTCGAGGCTGCGATGCGTTCTGTCAACACTGTTTCTCGTAACCGTTAACATTGTCGTTAAAGCTGCTCGTTAGATCTTAGGCATTAACATTCGCATTACTTCATGTGTTTCTGACAACGGCCCCTGATCTCACGGTCCCCGATATTCATAATATACATAAGCTTATTGTTAACATGCACGCCCACGGATTGCTCTTAGCATTGACATTCGCAATTAAAGGAATAATATGTCATTGATTATGGGCAATGTTGATGAATGCTAGAGTAACCTGGCACCTTGTGTAGGCATTACGCTTATACGCAAACGCGTATTAGTATTGTCAATATGCACTGCGGTTTACTAAGAACATGTCTACAATTGAATCCACAGTCCGCAAATCAGGTTGTTTCAGTTTTCAAACGCTGCCGCGAGCGGGTGTGATAGCAGATTTTATAGTGCCCGGACATTTTCGGCACGCATGCTGCCGTACGCAAGTGCCATCAGTGATTTCGTAAACATGGACGGCTGCGGGTGATAAGGAACTTTTTGTCAGGGCTGTCCATGTGCTCCATGATTAGTACATGTTTTTACTCTATTTTCTGTTTAGTCGTGGTCGTGGTTACACCGCTGACGGCCTCATCTGCTCCAAAACTATACGGGCCGCACAAATGTTTTACGTCATCGCTTGACTCCGGATGAGCATTTAACGTGCAGCGTAAATGATAGCGTTGATACATATCAACAACCGATTTCAAGTCTTGTTTGTAATGTAAGCCAGCAGTGATATTGACAACCTAATTATGCGTTTGGCTATAAGGTAATGTACTTATTAACTACACAAGGTGCCAGTTACTCTAGCATTCGTCAACATTGCATAATCAATGGACCTATTATTCCTTTAACTTCACTGTGTTTCTGACGACGGCCCCCGGATCGCTCGTTGCAGCTGTTTGACACGTTCTTCGACCTGAGTGACAACGCGAGTCGCGACGACAACGACGACAACGACGAGCTGGCGGCGGTTGCGGCGGCGCACGTGCGCGACGGACCGTCACAGAACACGCGGTCACGGACGCGGCGAGAGCTCGGCACTGCCGCCGCCGGCCAGCGGCGACGGAGGAACACGCCCGGCGGGAGAGCGGACGCGACGACGCCGCTAGAAATGTGAGTTGCGAGGGCATGAATAATGCTAAGGTTAATGTCGAATAATCAGGGTTTTCGCCGTGAGTTTCGGAAGGCGCGTTGGGGCGATTGCGCAATTCATTGTCATTTGCGAATTGGAGTCATTTACGAGTGTCGTACGCGGTCCCAATACACAGGTCAACTTGATCAGTTCGGAGACGTATATTTGAAACTGTAAGAACATGGCATGACTGTATTAAGATTGTCAAAAGTAAACAACTAGAAATTGAGACATGTCATTTAGGCATTTAAGGCATGTCGAATAAGCAGTTAAAGCATGTCAGAGGATGTATGGGATATCCCAATTTAGCTTCAGCTTTGAAAGCATGTGAGAACTGACATGCATTGCAGGCCTGGGCGGAACCATGGCAATAATAGTAAGAATAAGAACTTGTAATTACTTGGTGTCTGGCATCTAGGTTCTATCGTCTACAAATAATTCGGCACATAATTTCTCAAATTTATATGTAGAGCCCGGCTGACAGTTTATAGGGCACGAGATATGTGAGCGGAAATTTAGGATGACAATAGTAAAACATTGTACTCGATGCCCCTGAAATGAACTAATGCAACTTTTAGAGTGTGATGAAACCGTTTGATTTTTCCACACGCACAGGTTGCTTCATCAAATTCTGGGCGGGTTGACAGGAACTGCGGTGTTCACGTCTGGCAGTGGCGGGATGCCGTTGTTTCTAAACCTTCACGGTGAGCCGGGTGACTACGCGTGGGGCCACGGAGGACTCGATTCCATCATCACGAGGGTGAGCATAGCAGAAATTAATTATTAATTAAAATTTATTCATATTATTTATATAATATTTATTTATTTTTTAATTATTGATTAAATTAATTAATTATTAGCTCCGTGTACCATTCAGACAGTCGTGTTTTTAGCTCACCTTGACATCGTCAAGCTGAGCTATTGCCATGGGTCGTCGTTCGTCCGTCCGTCCGTCAACATTTGGCTAGGTCAACGATAACTCAGGAACCGTTTGACCCACATGTTTGAAATTGGGTATAGTTGTTACTGCTATGCTCATGTCAATATTAAGCAACGTTAAAAGAAAACATCTGAGTAAAGCAAAAGAACAAGAAATAATAACCGAATAGAGGCAATAGTGACAAGTGAAAGCTATACAACTGATAAATAAGGTTCCAAGAGGGAATACATGCAACAAAAGCACACGAACAAGTGCGCGGAGCGACAGCGCCTCAGCTCTAACAGTCTACTGCGGTGACTCTTGGTGGAGGGTGGGATTCTAGTAAAACCCTGTTAGTCCCAAATGTGTTCACATACCACGCCGAAACAGTGGTAAAGCACAGGCATGGTATCGGGAACCTTCTCAAAGAATGTGTCGTTGGATCCGTTATGAAAAGTGCACAACGAGATGGAGCGCATACGTTCCAAGTGTCCTTCAGATTAAAGATGCGAAGCTTCCCATCCTACTCAGTAGCAACAACTAATTTGCAAGATCAGAAGTAGCTAAGCAGCGCATCCATCTTACCTACGCAAGCCTACAGGACTGATGAATAAGAAGCTGCAGCCTACGTAACCCTTAATTCAATGCCAGGCAAAACTACACAGTACCACTGCAGTGGCATACGTTACGATGTAACACACTACAGTACGAGAATACCAAAGGAAAACGCATAAGCAGAATTGATACGATTTAAGGACGAATAAACCTCCTTCAAAGCCCAAAGTTAGACTTTTGAACATTTCATTGTGACATTGTAGCCCTCATAGCATGCCAGGCATAGTATAGCATTCGCAACTTCCCACTAGCAAACCCGCGCAGTCAAACTTCTTCGTAACAGTAAACAAAATCCATCTTAAAACCCCCCATCACTCATGAGGGTCACAAAGGTTAATTCCACACTTATCTTCGATGTCACCGGAAAAAGTACATCAAATGGGTCCTTTCAATTAAAGCCTAAAAATGTAGGTCCACGCTGAACCACCAAAAAAGTTTTTTCAAATCTAGCCTACCGCATCAAGACGACCACTGTACTCACAGAAAAACTGCCCATCTAAAATCTGACCCCTTTGCCCATCTGACCGAATCTGCTGCCCTCCCAATTTCGCGGCACAGCTGGATGCCTTTCCTACCATCATTGTAAAATGTCTATAGCCTGATCCAACTACTCACTGAGCGCTACGATGGATCGACTGCCGTTTAGCATATTCTGCGACCAAGTTCATGAACAGTTTTCACTCCCTATTAACTACAAATTAAAGTTAGAGCGGAACGCTTCCCAATACCTCATCTTTTAGCACCTCTTGCCATTCTTGCCACTTGACACCGTCAGAACCATGTTATAAAGGTCAAAACCAGCATCTGAGACAACCCAATCTCCTCGTATCTATCATCAGACCAACGTCAGATGAGCTCATCAATTTACTACTAGTATGTTGTATTATTGTATACTAGTTGTCTATGAGCTATATAATAAATTAAGACCTGATACACAAACACCGCAGCCTAGGGCCTGCATACTCACTAAAGTTATACTTAGGTCGAGTTTTAACACATTCTATCCTATCACACCATTCCTATCGTAGTTTATTTCAAAAGTTATATTCAGCCGAACGTTCTACTTGACTCGATTGCAAACACAAATTTGGCGGTCAAATATAGACCAATCTGTGCACGCGACGATCTAGCAGGCCGTGGTAGCAACTTTCGTGTTCTCTTTGAAATAAACCCACGATAGGAAATACAAAATTATGTATTCACCAATGACAACCGTCTTGCCGTTTTATGTAAATATTTTCAGCAATTTTAATTAACAGTTTTAGAGTTAGAATCTGTTAAAAACCCGACGAGTATAACTTGGGAGGTATGCAGGCCTAGATACAATAATGTACCCAAACAACAAGGATAGGGTTACCACGCGAGCCTACTCTTTTTCTTTGGAGGAACGCGCCTGATGAATCACTCAGGCGCGTTTTGCTGGTGCGTTTTCAGAAACTAGAACTTCCACACTGGGTTTTATTCTCCAACATTCGCGCCTCCGACTTCTCCGCCTATCCTGGAACGACTTCACCATGCTATCACAAATACTCTGTATTACCCTAATATATCACCTGTTACACAAAATTCAAAGTGACGACGCGTCGATACTTCCAGCGCCATTTCTGTTGACCTGTCACTACAATTCCAATGCGCTATCACGTTCGACTAACTTCGTCTCGTGACCTCAACACTGACAGCAGGCATCCAATGATACATTCCCGATCTCGAGTCGACAGTTACGCAAACGCTATGCCCGCATGGGAACTGTACGTCACAGTCAAAGAAATGGCGCTCGAAGTATCGCCCCGCTCGCTCACTTCGAATTTTTGTAACAGGTTATATTAGTAATACAGAGTATTTGATACATATAAGTTCAGATAGCAGGAGAAAAAAAAGGTCTGTTAGAGAATTCAGAATAACGCCAGTTTGGAAGTTCTTACGTCTCTGAAAACGCACCAGGAAACCGCCTCTCCAGCCTGATCTCCACGTAAGGGTTCCTCCAAAGAAAAGAAATAGGCTCGCGCGTTCTGTCAACCCTATTCCCTGTGTTTTGGGTTCCCACATCTACGCTCAGGCCCTAGCTGCGAGTTACCGCACAACGACCCTTTCACGTACACTGACACTGACAGCACACTAGCTCGCACACCTTCCTCACTCTCCCATGTCTCCACTCGCTCCGGTACTGTGGTAATACAATCAACAAACACATATACGAGATGCTGGTATAACTCTCACATCCATTGCTTTTAATCCATTTGTGCGTATACCGGAATTTCCGCCATTTGATTTCTAAAAGGCATTTTGGCAAAAGAATCCGAAACATTAGAATTCACACCACCACACACGCTTTCAGCATCATTGATAACGATCGCGCTCTAAACATCATGCGCCACCTATTAGAAAAAATGCTTTTTCACATCCGCGCATACCATTCGTGAACTGTCCTTCCTCGTCGTCTCCGTGTTTAAACCCACATAATTTCGGTAGTTTTTTTAATTTTAACTAGCAACAAATGACGCCACTTCTCTTTACGGAAAATCGAATGCTTTGTGTTATTCTCCGATTACCCGATAGATTGCGGAAAACAACCGCCGCAATATCTTAGCCATCAATAATCTGCGTAATATATACTAGGCTTACCTACATAGCACTCCGTTGAGATTTCGGCCCACAGGAACTATCCTACGCCATCCTGCGTTCTCTCTCCTTCTGCTCAATGCATCCGATCTAGTCTATTGCTTGTAAGTCGCTCCGTCACTCACTCTACTAGTGACGTCCTTCCCATAATATTGCCGCTCTGCATCTCCCCTATAGAACCTCCAACTTTGCTATTTTACCGCTTCGAGATCTTCTTTCGATTTTGTATCGCTTCTGTTCTAGAAGTCTCAATCTGCTCTTTGGCTAACTCAATCTCCGGCCCACAGAGATCTTCCGAAAGGATCCGTTTCCCAGCTGCTTCGATGCTTCTTACTCACCCACATCTTAGAGTTAGCACTAGCCTGCAGCTGCTAGAGACTCAGCAACTTCAGAGAGTGGATAAACCCAACTATCCGCTACTCGCTACTGTAACTCTGTCTGTGTACTGTAAGTAATTTCGTACTATCCTCATAATCATTTGCCTGACTGAAGCGAGTGCTGTTCGTGTCCTTCCCTAAGGACGGTTGTGCAGCACGCGAAAGCTCCGGCTGTTTCGCCAGTCCATTCCAGATGGGGCACGACCATCTGTAACAACGCATGCTATAATGCGGGGACTTAAGAAAAACCGCCGTCATGAGACTCTTCGAACTTCCATGTATCCTACACCTCTCTCACAGCGTCCTAAATCCCTACCACAACTCCCTGGTCTATCAAATCTCTGATGATCATGGTTTTCTCCACACATTCATTATTGTATTATTGTCTTCTGTATCGGTGGAAGTTGACTCGGAGGTTGTAGTAATGTAACTCGAAAACCAATCCCATAATCGCCCTAAGTAAGGCTCCCTAACTTTAAAGTACTTACTACACTCCCCCGAAACTGAAGCCTCTTTCTCCATCCGTCTCACTCCTCTCGCTCGGCACTCCCAACCTCTCAACTCAATTAACTGAGTTCTCCATTTTCGCAATGACTACGCAGATTCACTGCCGGAAAACCAAGAGTAAGCGAATGTGCTTTTTCATCATCAAGTTGGAAAATTAGAAAATCGTGTGTTGTTGATGGTGTATGATAAATCCCCATCGCCTTCATCCACTTTGCACCAACCCCGAACCACCTGTCATAACGCAACCCTCATGTCCACACCCCCTTCCACACCCCACCCCCATCGCCAACCCATTACACTCCTATTGTGATCAGAACCAGACTTGCGTTATTAGAACACAAGAGTCTGATCCTACCCCCACCGCGTCTTTTTAGACTGATCCTCTTCTGGCCATCGAAGATGGCATCGCAATTTGATAGGAAAACACCGCCACTTGAGCGCGGAACTTACAAATTCGTCTTATCATCCTTAATATTAACCAGCACCCTGTATAACTGACCAACAGTGCTTATAAGAAAAAAAAATTAATAAAAATCATATCAGCACTCTGATCTTTCTTTATCGAAGCACATTTGTCAAAGCCCCAAAATTCCCCCACTCGATCGACATGCACAAGCCAATTTCACCAAAAGCTAAACATAATTTCTCGTCTGGCAATACATATCGCCCTATGATAAAAACACAGAAAAAACTAAAATAAGTATATACTAACAACACATTCAT